ATTTTAAAATATAACTTATAATACTATTATATATTTTTCTTATTAAAAAGTATAATATATTAAAAAAATTAAATTTAAAAAAATTTAAGTTAAAGCTAGGCTTAATAAATAAAAAATATAATATTATAAAATAATAATAAAAAAGTATAAAATAAAAGTAAAATAAAAAAAAGTTTATAGTATAATAATAAAGTAAAGCTTAATATAAATTATATAATTATATAATAAAAGAATATTATAAAATAAAAAAAATCCTGTAAAATAGCCTAAGTAATAAAAGGTTAATTATAAAAAGTTATACTTAATAAAAAAAAAATTTAAAAATATAAAATAATATTTAAAATAAAAATAAGGTATTAAAATAAAAATAAGGTATTATATAAAACTACCTTTAAATTATAATATAAATAAATATAATATAAATATAATATAAATATAATATAAGTAAATTATAATACTATATAGCTAGCTATAAACTAGCTTATTTTTATTTTTTTTATATTTAAAATAAATAATAAAATATTTATATATAATTTATATTTTTATATTATAAAATATTAAATTAAAAACCTTACTTTATATATTTTTTAAATATTTAATATAAAAAGTTTTTAGGGCTATAAAAAGCTTTATTATATAAATTATAAATATTATTTTAAATAAATATTTAAGCATGTTTTTAATATAATTAATAATTACCTTAAATACCTATTTTTAAAAATAACTGGCCTTAATATTTTTTTATATAAAATTTAAATAATATTTTTTATATAAACCGCGTAGGGTAATTAAATAATAATTTAATTTTTTTTAAAGTTTTTAAAAATTAATAATTTAATAATATTATAAATATTAATAATATAAAGTTTTTAGGTTATAACTAAGCTTATTAAGTAAATTATTAAAAAGTTTATTAAGTTTTTTATTATTTAATAGCATGTAATTATAAAAAATACTAAATAAGTATTTAAAATGCTTAATTAATTTTTTAACTAGTATAATATAACTAAAAAGTTTAAGTATTTAAAATAAGTATTATTTTAAAATATATTATATTATTTTAGTATAAAAAAGCTAGTATTAAAATTAGGACTAAAATTAAAAAATTTAAAATTAAAATATTTAAAATTAAAAAAATTAAAATTAAAAAGTTTAAAATTAAAGGGCTTAAAAAGTATAAAATTAAAGTTAATATTTTTAAAATCTTATATATTAAAAAAATTTTAAGCTATTTTTATAATATTTATTAAATTTAATAAAATATAATTTATTTTTTAATAAATTTCCTGCGTGTATTATTAAATAATACCTTTTATTTTTATAATTATATATTAATAATTAATAATATAAATCTTAAGATTATACTCGGCTTAATTAACTTTATTTTTTAATATATTATACTTATAAAATACTTGCTTTAATTTATAATAAAAAATATTAATAAATTAATTTTTAAAGCTTAAATATTTTATTAATTTTATAATAATAGCCTTTTTATTTTATACTTTTTTAAAGTTAAATAATATATAACTTATTTATATTAGCATGTGTTAGTATTTAAAAAGATTTTTTAATAATATAATATTAATTTTTACTTTTTTTTATAATTTAATAAATAAGTTAATTTTTTTATATATTATTTTACTTACTATTTAATAATTTACTTAATTATTTTTTAATATATAATTTATAGCATGTTTAAGTTTGCTTTTATAAGCTTTAGTATTATTTTTTAAAGCTTTTTTTAAATATTTAATATAATAATTTTTTTTAATTATACCTAGCCCTACTTTATTTAAAAGCTAATAGTTATTAATTTTAAAGTTTTTTAAAGTTATTATTACTATTATATACATGTTGGTAATATAGTTAACTTGGTTATTTTTATTAAAAATAACAAAAGTTTTAGTAAAACCAAGCATGTAGTTAATATATTTTAAGTTATATTAAGCCACTACCTAGGTATAAAATAAAATTATTTATTATATATTACTTCTAAATAAATAGTTAAACTAAAAAATAAAATTAAGTTTTTAAGTATTATTTTTATATTTATATTAACTAATATTAAAATAATTAGCTATACTAAATTAAAATAATATAGTTTATAAATAATAATATATATAAATAATTTATAAATTATATATTTACTAAGGCTTTTATAAACTTAAAAATTATTATATATATCAATATTAAAAAAACCTAAGCACGTGTTAAATAATAAACTTTAAAAAGTTATAAAATTTAAAAAAAAATTACGCAAAGCTAAAAAAATAATTATAAAAATTAAAAAAAAATAATAGTTATATAATATAATAAAAAGTATAAAGAAATAAGCTTTAAAATTAATAATTATATTATATTTTATATAAAAAATATTAAATTTATAAGGCTAAATTATAAATTAAGTAAGATATTTATTAGCTTATTTTTAATAATTATAAAATAAAAAAGGTAATTATATAAGTTATTACTTTTATTAAATATATATTAATTATATAATATTTTTTATATTATACTTTTAAAACCTTATTAAAATAATTTATTTTAAATATTAAATATTAGTTTTATATTAATAAATAGTAAAAAAATACTTTATTAAAAAAAATTTAATATTTATAAATATAAAAATAAAATATAATATTTTATAAAGTAATAAGGTTAAAATAATATATAAAATAATATATAAAATAATAGATAAAAGCTAAAGGCTTATATTACTAAAATTATAATACTTAATAAATTTAAGTAATTTTATAAAAATAAACTATAAAAAATAAAAAAAAAATATACTTAAAAATTTACTTTTTATAAGCTATAAGTAATTATAAAAAAAATATATTTTTTATTTTTATTAATTAGCAGCGCCCGCAGGGCCTTTAATAAAAAAAATTAAATAAGTATTTAGGTAGCGTAGTATATAAAACTTTAAATATTTAATATTAAAATAATACTTAGCAGGGCCCTAATATTTATATTTAATATAAAAATTAATTAAATAATAACCTTAAATAATGCTATAATATAATATATATTAAATTAAAAAAAATATAAATTTATAATAAGGTTAGTAATATAATATATAATAAATTAAAAATATAAATATATGATTAGTAGCTAAGGCTATACTAGTATAAAAAAAATAATTACTAAGGTAATAATAGCATGTAACTTAAAAACTTAAATAAAAATTATATATAATATTAATATAAATAATATTAATAAAGTATAGTTATAACTTATAAGTAATAATATTATTATAAATTATATAAGTATTAGTTAAAAAAATTTTAAGCTAAATATTAAAATAATTTAATTAATAAAAAAAGTAATTACACCTATAGTTATAATAACTTAAATAATTATAAAAAAAGTATTATAAGTATTTTTTAATATCATAATATTTATATTTTTTTATAAATTATTATTATTAATATATATAATATTATATAGGCCTAAAGCCTAAAATAATTTTAACTAAATTATAATTATATTAAATATAATATACTTTACTAGGGTTTTATAATTATTTTTATAATAATTATATTTTTTACTTATAAATTTTATATATTTAAAATAGTAGGTTACCACCCATGCCTAAAAATAATAATTAATTTTTTATATAATAAAAAGTATATATTAAAAATAGCAAGCCTAAAGTAAATTAAAAAGTAGTAAAGTAAAAAAAAACTAGGGTAAGTATTAAAAAGCTAGGGCTAAAACTAAAAATTATATTAAAAATATAATAATAATAATAAAATTATACTTAAAAATAAATATAATAATAATAGGGGTGGTAGCACAAGTATAATAAAAATAAATAATTTTAAAAAATATATTAATAATTATAATTAATTAATTAATTAATTAATTAATTAACAAATTACCTTATTTTAGCCCCTAAGCAAGGCTTTATTAGGGGGTTTAATAGTTAATTAATTACTAAATATATAAAATTTCCAGGGGCCTTTAAGCCTATTTATTTTTAAAGCTTATTATTTTTTAGGGGTGTATTTTTAGGGCTTATAAAATATTTAAATTTTATATAAATTTTAAACTAGCTTTTAACTAGCTTTTTATTATTTAGTAATTTAATAACTTATATTAAAAAAATAATTATATAATATACCTAAGTATTACTAGGTTAGTAAGTTCCCGGGGGCTATTATTTTTAAGTTTTAGTAATTTTAAAAATAAAAAGTTAAGCTTTCTAAAAATTATAAAAGTAAAATATAATATAAAAAAATAAAACCTAAATAAAAAATATAATAGCTTATAATATTTTATTATTTTTTTATATTATTTTGGTATTTTTTAGGCTTTTTTTATTTTAAGCTTTATTATTACTAAAAAAAGGCTAATATAAGGGCTAATTATTAAAAAAAAGGTTATTAAAGTTATTAAATTATAAGGTTTATTTAAAGGGTTATTTAAAAAATTATTTAAAATTATTAAGCTAAAAATTAGCTATTTTAAAATATACTTAAGGTAAAAAGTTTTTTAATATACCTAGGGGCTTAAAAAATATTAATTATCTAGGCTTAAATATAGGCTTTAACTTAAGATTAAATTTAATTTTTTTAAAAGGTAACTTTACTAGTTAAAAATATAAGGTATTTTAAAATAATAAAAAATTAGGCAGTTTTTAAAATATTTTTAAGTAAGTTAAAAAAAACCTTAAGGCTTAGGGGTGTGTCGGACCTAAAGGGGCGATATGACAAGATAGTAGAAAGTTGATTCCTAAGTTGCTATTTTAAATGTTTTAGAAGTAGCTATAGGTAACTAAGCGTTAACAAAGCATGTCAAGCCAGAGGAAGGCAATATGACGAGATAGTAAGTTGATTCTCCTAATCTGACTATCTCGGAAGCAATAGATACATGCTGATGACTAAGTGCTGAGTAAGCAGGAAGGAAGAACCGTAACTACATGCTAAAGAGAGGAACGAAGAGGAACGTCATGACAAATCCCCCCGTCGAAAAGATAGCGCCGTCCTCGGTGCTTATTTCTTCCAATCCTTCCGCTCAATATCGTCCAGTGCAAAACCCAGATTTCCCATGAAGCTTTCGTAAATAGGGACATTGTTAGCGGCGTCGTCCGTGAACTGGGGGAGTTCAATGTCAGGATCCTCTTGCTGCACTCGTTGCTTCAGGTACTCCACGAACTGTTCGCATGAGCGCTTTGATATGGGACGCTTGAGGATATCGGAACTGTCCAGGGATACTGCACGAGAGTGTTTCGTTCCGCCCTTGCCGTGTCTCTTTTTAAGAAACTTGATCACCTTAGCGGCTTCCGTCTGGGCTTCAATGTCATCTGCAAGATCCTTGGACTTTTCCTGCATAAGAGCTGTGTCGACGATGGTCGGGGCGCGCATCACATTGGGGATAATTTCGTCCGCGGTAGTAATGAGTTCTTCAAAGCCTAGGGCAGCAACTTCCTCTGCGGATGTGCCCTTGGGCCAGCGGGTGAGGGGGTTTTTGCAAAGTTCAGTAATCAGTTCGAACTCCCAGAGTTTCCTTGCTTGTATCCATTTGCGGTTGATTGGTTCAAAGGCGGCAAGAAGGGACAGGTATTTTCTGCCGTACCTTAGGCGAGCGTCATTGGCTAGCTCTTGGAACTTCTTATGGCGGGCCTCATCATCAAACTGCGCAAAACTAGGATACCACTCGATGTCTCCTCTTGAGATAAGGGTCTGATCATCGCCGGTTATAACGTACTGGACGGCATCTTTCTCTTTTGGCTGGGGCATGATAGGCTTCAGGACGCAGCTCTTGCCAGCTCGAGGATTGGTTCTTGTTGCTTTGTATGTGGGCGGGGTGCAATCGCTAAGGATACCTACTGGAACCTTGGTAATCTCATCGATATCCAGTGTGCTGAGGATAGGCCTGACTGGAGCGGGATCAATTGGCATTCCCGTGTTTTTGTCAATGAATGCACGATAGCGTAAGTGAACGAACATGAAGGATTGTCCGGACTGCAAAATGTTATTCAACCGGTCACGAAAGTGGTCATCGTTTATTTGAATTGACGTCTTTGGTCGGTGTACTCGCTTCTTCGAATTGGTCTTAACAATAGGTTCTTCTTGGGGAATCTTGATTTGAGCAGAGGGTTTGCCCCCAAGAACGTTCTTATAGCCGCTGTCGCCCGCCTGGTTCAGCCAGAGTAGATCATTCGCCATACCCCTCGACCAGGTAACGACATTGTCATCGTTTGTTGTTTCGAGCTGCTTGACATGGGCCTTGAGACGATCCACGATCTTCTTCTGGTCTGCGGCGAAAAGGGCTTTGTCATCCTTAAAGAACTCAATTTGTTGTTTGAGCTCTCGGATAGTCTTCTGAGTCTTTGTCTCGTTTTTGTTCGAAGAGGTGTCGTCCGAATTAGACGAACCCGCGTTGGATGGACCCGCGGCGGAACTTCCGTTCGCCATGGTGATCTTGACAGAGAGGATATCAGACGGGCATGAAGAATGGGAGATGTGGTGAATAGAAAGCCTTGTGAAAGATAGCAAGTGAAGGATCTTGCTTGGAGCGCTTGAGCAAGATGCAAGGAAGTTCAAAGAGAAAGAAAAGGTAGCAAGTGAAGGATCTTGCTTGGAGCGCTTGAGAAAGATGTAAGGAAGTTCAAAGAGAAAGAAAAGGTAGAAGCGTAGAAGAGAATGAAGAGGATTGAAGAGAGAGGTCGAATAACTGATAGAGGGGTATTGTGTTATAATGTGAGCGGGGTAAATTCCTTATCGCGGGCAGAATTGTGGCAGTGCTTAAACATGAAACAACAATGAAACTCAGGGGGCGGGGTAGTAGGAGATAAGGATAAGGAATTAGAATAAGGAATTAGCAAAGATCTTCGGCTTCAACTTCCGCCTGCTGCCCGGATTCAAATTCGTGTATTAGGTCCTCGGCGCCATCGAGGTGCTTGCGGGGCTCCCATTGATCATCGCTAGCTCCGTAGCCTTTCCATCTTACCAGGTACTGTGTTACGGGAGTTCCATAGCGGCCTCGCGGTACAATGCGTTTTGCCAGGATTCTCTGTACTTCCCAGCGATCGGGCTCGTCGGGGAATCGCTCATCCAGTACTGCGGGGGGATGATGGTGCTCTCTGCCAAAAGGATCTGGATGTGTTGGTTCTAGCTGAGCAATAGACACAACTGGATGGATCTTCCAAGAAGGTGGGAAGTCCATTAGGTACGATAATCGGCCGACACGCTCGATGACTTGGAAGGGGCCAGCGTATTGAGGAGAGAACTTTGTGGGATGTCCTTGTAGGCGAGTAACTGGCAGGGTATATCCTTTGTGTAAGCGGAGGTAGGCAAGGTCACCTTTTTGCAGGTCTAATGGCTGTCGGTTCTTGTCGTAATAGGATTTCATGGACATCGAAGCATATTTTAAAGCTTCTTCAGCATCAAAACGAGCGCTGAAGTCCTGGGGCCAGATGCGCTTAAGGAGATTCCATGGGCGTCGAAAATCCAAGCCAAATAGTAGTTTTTGAGGAGTGTGCTGTGTCGCGGTGGAGACAGATCCGTTAATTGTAGCTATGATTGGCGGAAGCATATCAATCCAGTTTGTATTTGGGGAGGCAGTTATCGTGTGCCGCAGCATAATCTCAACCGTTTGGATCGTCCGTTCAGTCTGGCCGTCCGTTTGGGGATGGAATGCGGTTGAATATAGCCAGTGGGTATTCATAGCCTTTAGCATTCCTTTCCAGAATTTGCTCATGAACCTGGAATCTCTGTCAGAGATAAAGATTTCAGGTATCGACCAGTCGTGTGCTTGAAAGTAGCGGACTAGCTCATAACCCCATTTATCAGATTTCCATGTGGAAGTTCCGGGAAGTAGGCCAATGCGCTTTGTGTATTTGTCACACATAACAAGGAGTTGATCTTTGTCCTTTACCGGAGGAAGGCGTACAATAAAGTCGACTGTAATAGTGTGAAACGGGACAGGAAGTGGTGTTATTGGCTGCAAGTAGCCTAGTGGTCGATGGTGACGGGGCTTATTTTCCAAGCATGTTGGGCAGTGTGCAATATAGTCCCTGAGGAGAGTCCGAGCTTTGTACGCTGTAAAACCGTGCATGCTTTCCAAACATTTGTCCAGGCCTTGATGACCGTTGTGATCATGGATTAGTTTGAAGAATCGTGGCAGTATAGAGCGAGGGAGGTAGAGCCAGTATTCTCCTTGGTCATCGGAGGTTCCTCGGTTGGAAGTTCCTCGGTTAGGCAGTTCGGGGTATACGGACGTGTTAGTGTGCAGATTCATCCTTTGCTTTAGCATGTACAACAGGCCGTCCTCCTCTTTGTAAGGTAGTTCCGCAGGGGAAGGAAGATCCTTTGATTCGCGTAACACCTTTAGGATAAGGCTCGCTCTGGCGTCGTCAGGATAAGCATCCTTGACCTGTTGTTTGAACTCATCCGAGATTTCAAGGCATGATACAGTGTGGGCGTATTCCTGGTTTGTCCATAGGCAGTCGAGGTCAAACTCGTTGGGCTGTGGAGGCGGTTTCTTTATGCGGGATAATGCGTCGGCAATAGTGTTTGTCTTGCCCGGGCGGTGGAAAATTCGTAGGCGGAACTGTTGGGCGTATTGGGATGCGCGTATAAGTCTTCGGTTCATTTTCTCTGGCGAGATCGTTGACATCGATTTCTGGCGCATGATGTCAATTGTTGAGCCATGGTCTGTGTAAATAATAACTGGAAGATCCGCTGCTTCGATGATGTGCTTGGTCTTCTTTAGCACCCATACCAGGCAAGAGATTTCTAGTTCGGTAGGCCAGTAGTTGTGTTCAGCAGCGGTAAGGGATCGGCTTAGGAAAAGCACAGGGCGTATTGAAGTGCGCGGAGGAGGCTTTAGAACGTCCGCATGCTTGTAGTCATCTTTCAAATGGTACAGCATAGCGCCGTGACCTTGAAGTGAAGAGTCAAGGTCTATATAAAGCTGTTGACGGCGGCGGAAATGAGCAAGGAACATTGGCGTAGTAAACGCATCCTTAAGACGGTGAAAAGCGTTGAGGTTGCTGGGTGATCTTTCAACTGCCGTTGTCAAGGACCGTGCTTTTCGAGCAGGACCTTCCACCGGGCCACCGTGAAGAAGCGCGGTTTTAGTGTTTTGAAGAGGGAGAGCGATTTTGCTGTAGTTTTCTATGTAGTTCCTGAACCAGCCAGTGACTCCTAAGAAAGTTTCCAGTTCCGATAGTGTTTTGGGAAAAGTGAATGCTTTAATTGCTGCAAGCTTGTCCTCAGCAGTGGACATTCCAAGGGCATCAACTTGTTGTCCTAAGAGCTGGACTGATGGGAATCCTATAAAAGATTTTGTTGGTTCAAGGCGTATATTCAAATCGCTAAGCTTCCCAAAGAGCAGCCGAAGATGTTCCAGGTGCTCCTCTAGGGTCTCGGAGGCAACCACTAGGTCGTCGACGTAGGCGCGGCAGAATTCCTTAAGTTCCTTTAGGGAGAGGTCCATAACGCGTTGGACGTATGGGACGCTGTTTATAAAACCCATAACGGTAACGTGGAACTGTTCCTGTCCCCTATGAGTAATAACTGCCATGTGTTTGCGGGCGCTCCTAGCCAACATCCACTGGTAGAAAAACCTGGCTGCGTCCACCACTGTTATGTAGAGGCAGCCGGCGATCATTGCGATGATCTCTTCCTGTGTTGGTACCGGGTATAAATCTGGTTGCACGCGGCTATTTAGGTCGCGTAGATCAACTACTGGACGTTCCTTGACTTTCCATGTTTTTGTTGCAGCGTCGAAGACTTTTCTATATGTGACAAATACCGGTCGGGCAGAAGGTGTGTGTCCTGTACACCAGGACATCTTGCCTTGTGCGTGTAGGGAATCGAAAAGTTTGTCCACTGCCTTCCTAGCTTCAGGACCGAGAGGATATATCCTTGGTTTTGGTAAGCGTTGTTCCCAGCCATCCTTCATGATGACTTGCATCCATTGGGATTCAGGAATGTTAACAACTCCAGAAGACTCTTCCCATAGATGGGCGAATTCGTATACCAATGCTTCGAAAGCCTTTACCTGTTGGCTGTCGGAAGAACCGTAAATGCTGATGCCGTTGGGTAGTTTTTTGATAGGACCGTTGGTAGGACCGATGTTGATTTTGGGGTTTTGGTCGTCGTTTTGAACGACTGGTGGTTCTGTTGGTGTCGAAGTTTCGTGGAAGTCCTTGCGTGGAACATTGTCTTCTTCCACTGCAAAAGTATGTTGTTCCTGAAGGTATTGTACGTCCACTCGGTTGGCTACTAGGTAGTCGACGTCTGAGATAAGGCCCAATCGGTGTTTCTTGGGTATAACAACCGGACGATCCGTGGCGTTTACTGCTTCAACATATGAGAAATGTTGACCAACAAGATGGGCATATAGCAAATCTTCGTGCGCTTGGCGGGGTTCAAACACAAAATCCCTGTCAGGAAGATCGGCTTTGACCTTTGCGGGAACTGCCACGGACGAGTGCGGAGGTATTGTGATACGCTGTACCGCGTACACTGGGATGGATGTGACTCGACAACGTTTAGCGTGCACTTGCAAAGGAAAGTCCAGGTCTTTGCAGGATTGCAGGGTTCCTGTGCAGTTGCCTAGGTCTAGGGTAATCCTCTCCCTGGCCAACGTGTCCATACCTATCAGGACTTTGATCTTTAGATCTTTGACAAGGTACACGCGAGCGATAACTTTGCCGTATACTCTCTGGCCATCAACTATGCCGGAGAAGTACAACGGAACATCTGTAAACTGCGTGGCAATATGTTTCGATCCAATGCCTGAAACAGCCATTGGCTTCGCCTTTTGTAGAGGGGCGTCCGGCAGAATGCTTTTGATAAAGGATTCATCTGCTATTGTAACAGAACTGCCGGTATCTAAACAAAGGTCCTCTGCGTGGGAAGTTCCACCTACATGGACTTTTGCTGTGGCGTATCTCCATGAACGTAGGCCAATATCCTCCAGTGCAGGCATCTCTTCTGAGGATATGACTTTAGCAGCATTGTCAAACTCCATGCTGTCCTCTAACCCGTGTTGCGTTTCTGGATGGTCCTTTGCGTGCTGTTTGAGTTTGTTTGATGAGGCAAATCGCTCAGGGCAAACCGGGCAGGTCAGGGTAGGAATTTCGGTTTCGACAGTAACATTAAAAGAATAGGCTTCGTCATTGTCATTGTATTCGTAGTCAGGGCTATAGTACGCGTATGGATCGTCCAAGGGCTCAAGAGATCCATGATACGCTTCTTCGATGCCTTGCTGTTGGCATTGCGTGTCTGAATCCGGGGCGCCTTCTGTCACATGATTGGCCGCTTCGCTGGAAGTCCCTATGTGTTCAGTCTCATTTGCAGCAGCAAGGAAAGCACGTTGAGCACGTTGCTGATTCCACGGCTGTCGGTTGAAGTTGTTATTGCCTGTCCTAGAAAATCCTGCAACTCGCTGTTGCGGTTGTGCTTGTGGGGTAGGAGAATTATAAGGTCTGTCCGCTATCTGAAGCTGACCAGCTCGTGGAGCGCTAGATTCTCTATTTGGTTGCGGCTGCTGGATTTGACCTTGTGCTGGGAACGACTGACGGAAGTTCCTTTGTTGCTGGTTTGGCCAAGGGTTCTGTTGTGGCCAGGGGTTTTGCTGTTGTGACCAGGGATTTTGCTGCCTAGGGTAGACGGGAACTGGGACGTAGATGTGTTGCCTGGTGTCGTTAGAGAAGTTCCTGTAAGGAGGAGTGTCTCTGGGTGTGCTTCTTTGGGGATGTTGCGCTTTACCGGTGTTGGAGCGACGGTTCCTTGCGTACTGGGCCGCTAGATCTTGCCAGGTAGCAGTTTTAGATTCAATCCTCTCGATGAACTGGCTCAAAGTCGTATCCTCGTCCGGTTCAGGAAGATCTCTTCGCAGTGAAGGTTCAAAAGCACACCACGCAGTTGTTATTTGAGAGTACACGTCGTCCATCCTTGCAGCTTTGCATGCGCGTACAGCCTCTTGAACGAATTTCCTAGGTGTTATCCCATCGTGCAGATCGCTAAAGCCATAGCGGAGGGAATTGACTTTAGATCTTGCTTCAGAAATGCGGGGACGGAATCTCCGCACAATTTGAGTAAACCAGCCGTTCTCCAGGTCTAGTCTTCTTAAAGCGTCTTTTTCAAAGACTGTCAGTTCGGAAGTGAACCAATCCAGGGCCGATCCTCGAAGCGTGGCCTGAATGTTCGCTTTTACCATTGGTTCACCTTTATAATCGACGATGTCCCTGAGCCGGTCCACAAAGACGTTAACGTCCTTGTAATAAACCTCTCTGCCGGAGTGTTTGATCGAGACGTCCTCCGGAATGTCGGGATCGAAATATCCGATTTCGTCAGTTCGCCAAGGGCCACCACCATTGCCGTTGGCGGGGCGATTCTGTTCGTCTTCCCATTGGACGTTCCTGCGTCGCCGACGTCTGTTCTGGGGTCGAAAACCGTTAAGATTGTCATCATTGGGATTATTATCGTCGTCGTCGTCGTCGTCATCATCCGGATCGTCGTCTGGATTCCCTCCAGCTGCACCGTTTCGATTTCTGTTCAGCCTCCTTCTTCGTCGTTCAGGATGTTCGTAAAGCCGCCCTTCAGGACGCCCCTCAGGTGGCTGATTGTCCTGTTGTGCGTCGTCAGGACGATCTGCATCTGCATTCCCACCTGCTCCGATATCGGCATCAGCATCAGCTGCTGCGTTCGCCTTCTCTCGATCCATGAGTTCTTGGAAGTTCCCTGCGATATTTTCTACCGATCTCATCCGATTATCCATTTGTTGTTGGTTAAGCAGGATCTGAGCAACCATGTCAGCTATTGACGGCTGATTTTCAGGCGGATCCGGCCTTCTTGAGTTGTTGCGGCCTTGTCCTGGGCCCTCATCATGGTGGGAAGATCCACCAATGCCAGTCGTTCCGGACATGTTGTTTCTGAACGAAAAACGAGGCAGCTTCGGCTTGTATTTCTGTTTGGTATAGGACGCAGTGCGAGTTGCTTTTGTCGGGGTACGGCTAGTCGGGGTTACTGAGCTCTCTGGCTCTTCGGCGCAGGATCTTCCTGCTTCGTCGTCTTCAGGCACGAGTAAAGTATCTTTACTCCTCCGCTTTGCCAAAGAATCGAAAGCAAGCAGCGTCTCCGGGCTCGTAGGAAAAGAACCTGGCGTTTCTGTATCTGCTGAAGGAAGTTGTACAGGAACTTCCAGCTGCACTGCGGCGTCGAGAGCTTCAACCACGTGAGGGACAGCTTTTGCAACTTGTTTCGCAGACTGTTGCAGTACTCCTGATGTGGCCTTTGCTAGTGAAGATAACGTATTAAACGCATTAAAGGAACGATCGGTCAGGGATGATCTCGCTCCCGTCCAACGAGGTGCTTGTCGTACGGTATCGGGACTAGGCAGGGCTATAGACGTCCGCTCTGGTGTATGACTTAAAAGGGAAGGAGCAATCGGGTCTGGATCCAAAGGATCTTCCTTGGAAGGAACGAGTAGCACCACGTCGGTGGGCTCCTGAGTGGCGGATTTCGTGGCTTGAGAGATAGAGGATATAGAGGATACTGAACGGGATCTCGAACGTGAGCGTGATTGTGACCGACCTAGAGCTCTCTCTGGTGTCTTGATCGAAAGTAAAGGCGATTGAAGGTATAGAGGATCTTCCGTAATCCTAAAACGTGCAGATAATCGTAGAAACTCCTTGACAGCCTTACTGAGTACGCTCCGATCAATATCCCAGTCGACTGGATACTGGAATAGACGTGTTGATAGCGGAGGTTCTTCCTTGGCTTCTATGAAGACGGCCAGGCGCGTGGTTTCTGCGTCGAGTTCGTGTACGAAATTGGAATCCGAAAGTCGTCGAAAGCGAGCTATTTGATGCGCTAGCTCAGATATTCGGGAGTTATATGACATCGGTTCAAAGGAAACTCCTTCTGTCGATGGTGAATATCGGTGGTGAATGTTGGTGGTGAAGTAGAGCGGGGTATTGGAGGAGTCGTATAGGTAGAAAGACGCCGACCGTTAGTATTCACCACGGTCGCTCGTTTTGACTCTGGAAGCTCCAGGAGTCGAGTGTGTTTTCCAGGAGGCTCCTAGATCGTATTAGAAGACATGCTACCACTTGTCAAGCCAGAGGAAGGCAATATGACGAGATAGTAAGTTGATTCTCCTAATCTGACTATCTCGGAAGCAATAGATACATGCTGATGACTAAGTGCTGAGTAAGCAGGAAGGAAGAACCGTAACTACATGCTAAAGAGAGGAACGAAGAGGAACGTCATGACAAAGCATGTAGGAAAAATAAGAAAAAATAAAAAATAATAAATATATAATAAATCCCCCTATTAAAAAAATAGTATTATTTTTAATACTTTAGCTAATTTTTTTAATTTTTTTAGTTAACTTTATTTAATATAAAGCCAAAATTACTTATATAGCTTTTATAAATAAAAATATTATTTATAGTGTTATTTATAAACTACAGGATAAAAATAATAAAGTAAATAAAATTAAGATTTTCTTGCTAAATTTATTAAGTATTTAAATTAGTAATTAATTTTAGGTATTATATAAACTATTTGCATAAACACTTTAATATAAAATACTTAAAAATATTAAAACTATTTAAAAAAATTACTTAAGCGTGGGACTTTATACCACGCTTATTATGTTTTTTATTAAAAAACTTAATTATTTTAGTAGTTTTTACTTAGGCTTTTATATTATTTACTAGGTTTTTAAACTTTTTTTATATAATTATATTTATAATAGTTAGAGCCCTTATTATGTTAAGAATAATTTTATTAATAATAGTAATAAGTTTATTAAAGCCTAGAATAATAACTTCCTGTATAAAGGTGCCTTTAAGTTATTAAATAAATAGGTTTTTATATAGTTTAGTAATTAACTTAAATTTTTAAAGTTTTTTAGCCTGTATTTATTTCTGGTTAATTAGTTTAAATATAATAAGAAAAAATAGGTATTTTTTATTATATTTTAAATAGGTATTATTAGCTAGTTCTTAAAACTTTTTATAATAGGCCTTATTATTAAACTATGTAAAACTAAAATATTATTTAATATTTTTTTAAAATAAGTGTTTAATTATTACTAGTTATAATATATTAAATAATATTTTTTTTTAGCTAAAGTATAATAAGCTTTAAAACATAACTCTTGCTAGCTTAAAAGTTAGTTTTTATTACTTTATATATAAGCGGGGTGTAATTACTAAAAATACCTACTAAAACCTTAGTAATTTTATTAATATTTAGTATGCTAAAAATAGGCCTAATTAAAATAAAATTAATTAATATTTTTATATTTTTATTAATAAATACATGATAGCATAAGTAAATAAATATAAAAAATTATTTAGATTATAAAATATTATTTAAATAGTTATAAAAGTAATTATTATTTATTTAAATTAATATTTTTGCTTAGTGTACTTACTTTTTTAAATTAGTTTTAATAATAAGTTTCTTTTAGGAAATTTTAATTTAAGCAAAGGGTTTACTTTTAAAAATATTTTTATAATTATTATTACCTACCTAGTTTAGTTAAAATAAATTATTTACCATGCCCCTTAATTATATAATAATATTATTATTATTTATTATTTTAAGCTACTTAACATGGGCCTTAAAATAATTTATAATTTTTTTTTAGTTTATAGTAAAAAGTGCTTTATTATTTTTAAAAAACTTAATTTATTACTTAAGTTTATAAATTATTTTTTAAGTCTTTATCTTCTTTTTTAAAGGGGTATTATTTAAATTAAATAAATTAGTAATGGAGCTTTTATTAAGCATAATAAAATTAATTATAAAAATTAGGCTAGAATAAATATAAAAAAAAAAAGCTAAAAAAAGTTTTTAAAAAAAAACACAGCTTCAAGTAAAATAAAAAAAAATAGATTTAAAAAAATAAAGTTTTTTAAAAGAGAAGTAAAAAAAAAATTAGGCAAGGATAAATATAAAAAAAAAGAAGCTAAAAAAAGTTCTTGAAAAAGAAACATAGCTTTAAGTAAGGTAAAAAAAAATAAGTTTAAAAAAAAAAATAAAAAGATAAAACTCCGGGAGCGGGAAAAAGGTAAAGCAATAAAATTAAAAAAAAAAAAGTTTTAAAGGGGGAGAAAAATAAAGTAAAAAAAATAAAGTAAAAAAAAAAGTTTTATAAAACTTATATTATTAACTACAGGGCAAAGAATATTAGGACCCTAATAAAATATATGTAAAATATAAAGAATACCCCTAAAAATAAAAAATAAAAAAAAATAAAAAATAAAAAAAAAATCTAGAAATCCTTACCACCAGGATTATTTTAAGTGTTATTAATAGTATTATATTATACTTTAAAATTATTAATAAGGTTTTTAGCCCCTGCTAGATTTTAAAATAGCTTTTATTAGTTATTTTTTTAAATTATAACCCTTTTATTTTATTAAATATTAAAATACTAGGGTATTATACCTGCCGTGTTAAACTATATATTTTATAAGTATTTTATTAATTTTTTATTAATTAATATTATTAGGAAACTAATTATTTTTAATAGCGGGAGGCTTATAATAGTATTTACTATAAAAATTAAAATTAGCTAGTACTAGCTTAAGTTAAGTAATTAATATAATAAAATAAATTTTTTAGGTAAATAAAAATTTTTTTATTTATTAAATAAAATAGTTAATTAATTTATTCCAGGACTTTAAAAAAACCAGTATATTATTATAAAAATTTAATTAAATATTTTTAAAAATATGTGACCGGGATGCTATATTTTTTATAAAGTTATAAATAAGTAAGATTATTTTTTTAAAGTTATATTAAAATATGCTTTTTATTATAAGCTAACTTTATAATTATTAAGGTGTAGTTTAAGGCTTTTTTTATATTAATTTATATAGTAAAATCTTATATTTATATATATTTTAAAAGGTTTTATAGTTTTTAAAATTTTAAGCTAAAAAGTAGCTTTTATAGTGTTTTATTTATTATACTACTTATTAAATTATTAATAACTATAATAATTACGGGAAGTATCTTAAGTTATATAAAGTTTAAATACTATGTTATATTATATTATAGCATAACCTTAATTATTTAAATATTTTTTTTAGTTTGGCTATTAATTTAGGGGTAAAAAGCGGTAAAATATAGCTAATATATAGTTATAGCTTTTAGTATACCTTTTTAAAAAGTACTAAAAAAACAGGCATTTTTATTAAAGATAAAAATTTTTAGTATTAATTAATTATAACTTTAAAAATAATTAACTAACTTTATACCTTATTTATAAGCTTGCTAGGTAAAAGTTCCTGGCATTAAGCTAATTTTTTTAAAGTATTTATTATATATAACTAGGATTTAATTAAAGCCTTTTAGTATTAATAGTAAATAAATAATAAAATTAATAGTTATAGTATAAAAAGGGATAGGTAAAAAAGTAATTAGTTATAGGTTCCTGTATGGGCGGTGGTATTGGACCTTGTTTTCTAGGCAAGTAGGATAATGTGCTATGTACTCACGTAGCAAGAAACATAGTTGTATAGAAGGGAAACCAATAAATGACTTTGTTGGCTCAAGGCGGACGTTTATATTATCCAGCTTTGCAAAAACTATTTAAAGGTGTTAAATATATTTTTTAGCGTTTTAAAAGCCACCACAAGGTTGTTAACATATACCTAGTAAAATTTATAAAATTTTTTTAAGACTTAGGTTTATTATTCTTTAAATATAAAAAATATTATTAATAAAACTTATTATAATAATATAAAATTACTTTTATTCTTGGTATATAATCACGGCCATGTATTTTTATTTTTTTTTTATAAGTATTTATTAATAAAAAAAATAAGAAGTATTTACCACCGTAATATAAAAATAATTAATAATAATTATAATAATTTCTTTTTAAGTAAGCACGGGGTAAAAATTAGGCTAAACATAGCTATTTAAATTTTTTAAATTAACTATTAAATGTTTTTTAAGCTTTTAGACGTTATTATTAAAAACTTATTTATATATAATAAATACAAGTCTTACTAAAAATGTATAACCTATATATTATAATATTTTTCCCTAAGCGTGTAATAAGTTAAATAGCTTATTAATTACTTTTAATATATTTAGCCTTAAAGGGTATACCTTAAATTTTAAAAAATAATTTTTTTAGCTATTTTTTATTATTAAATATATTTATTAATTTTTTAGTATATTAATAACTCCTATGGACTTTTATTATAAGTATATAAATTTATATATAAAAGTTTTAAACATTACTATAGCATGGAAAGATCTAGTATATATACTAATATTATTTAAAAGCTTTTTAATTAGGTGTTATTTATAGGTAACCAAAATTTTTAAAGTATTCTTTACTATAAAAAAATAAAAAAAATTAAAAATGTTTTTAAAAAGTTTCTTATTAACTTATTTTAAAAAGGTAAAATCTTAATTTATAGCTAGTAAAAAAAATTAATATTTTTAAAAAAATTTAATATATACCCTGTTAGCTATAAAATACTTAATATTAAATATATATTTAATATAGTATTTTTTTAGTATAATAATAAGATAATTTATTATATTTACTGCTTTAATATATATAAAGTTATAGTTTATAAAATATATATATATAAGTTTTTTATACGCTTCGCGGGGTTTAAAAATAAAATTTTAATTAAAAAATTTTACTTTTACCTTAGCTAGTATAGTTATTAATAAATAAAAAAAAATTATAATATATTATATAGTATAAATAAAAATTAAGGTAACTTAATAGTGCTTTATGTAAATTTATAATAAAAATTTTAAATACTTGTAAAATTATAAGGTTTTAGTATAATTACTTAAGTTTAAGGTAATTTTTTTATATTAAAGTGTTTATATTAATTAAAACTTTAATTTTTA